TTCCAAATTTAATTCCTCTATATACTCTAGATTTTTGACCAGTTGAGCGGGGACACCCTGCATAATACAGTATCACCTATTTTGAATGCGCGGTCCCGCTTCATCACACTATATTTCGAAAACGGTTGGTAGTACAAAAAAATGTATAGGAACAATTTTGTAGAAAATACTATTTTATGTAAGTTTTGTTTGAGGTTCTTCGACATCAGATGCACTGGAAGCGAGATTTTCGCAAAAAACCGATTTTCATGACCTTTGACCTTTGATATCTCAAGACGCACAAACAGAGCCCCCGCCAGACCTGAAGCCGCCTGCCTGCGATTTCATGTTTTGACGCCCCCTGGCCCCTAGTCAGAGTCGGCGCAGGAAAATTGGCCCATTGGCTTTACGGAGCTGAAGCCCATTTTACAATGGACGTACCGTAACCGTAAAGACGTAACATAAAATCAAAAATCTGTTTTTTTTTTAAAGATAAAAGTCAAAATGACATTATGTTGGCAATACAATGTAAAATTGTCAATGCTTTCAAATTTTATATGTAGAAAAGGCTTGTGTTGCCAACAAAGTTACTAAATTTTTGACTTGGGGAATTATTTTTTAAAAAAAACAGACTTTAAGTTCTAAGCTTGCGCACATTAGATTTATTTGCGTCAAATATGTTATCGGAAATGCAACGTAAGAGATAACCAATTCTCATCTTATCTTACGTTGCGTTTCCAGTGACATATTTGACGCAAATAAATCTAATGTGCGCATGCTTAGGACCTATGTTAGGTCTTTACGGTTTTGCAGCCCAAATCTCGCTTGATAAGCACAAGGGCGCAGGGAATGGTTCTATTAATTTCTACTCTTTGTCACTCATATAAGAAGATTTCACATAGAATATGGAACTGAAAAAGACGATGGACAGGGCGCACTTGTTCCCAGACTACAGTGGCTAAATAAACCTTTACATACAGTGGCGACAATAGAGGTCCCGCCGCCATCTTGTTTCCAACCTCTTGTTACTTTTAAATATTGATATATAGGATTTAAATGGACATCTATCATAAAAAATTGAAATCGACGTATTTGATGACCATTATTAGGTCCATCAAATACGTTGTTTTCCATGATTTATGATGAATGTTCACCTAAATCCCATATATTCATATTTAAAAGTAACAAGGGGTTGGGAACAAGATGGCGGTGTTTTCAATATAAATATATGGGATTTTAGAACCAATCAAAAATGAGACAGCAATTGTCGCCACTGTGGGTTATAGAGTCACTGTATCCCAGACGAGCGCTGGGCGTTTCGAGAATCAGGTGCCTGGTCTTTGGATAAAAAAGAAAATAATTGAAACACTTTATAAATTAAACTTTTTTTATGCCGGTCTGAGAAGTGAACATCGCGTACAGGTCAATTTTAATGCAATAGAATGAAATGTCTAGAAAAGGTCTAAGGTTAAATCAGCATTTCTTCATTATTTTGGTCAAGTGAATGACTGTTTCAGAGGGGAATACTGGGAGTGCGTTCAAAGACGGCAATGCTAATGCCAAAACCTACTTTTCCCCTTCTACCGGCGATGCCAAATCTGGTGTGAATTTGCTGGAACGCCAAATACCGTTTCTCAATTAGGCAATCCAAACCACGTAACATTCAAGATGGCGTGGCGTCCACACATGGACGAAAAAACACAAAAAATATCTAGTTTCTGCCCAACTCAATAGTTTACGTACCTACACATATTTTATTGAATAATCAAAGTGCAAAACTCGAAGCAAAATATTGAAATATGCATGAAAACACATATTCAAAACTAACTTGCTGGCCGCCACGCCATATTGAATTTGGTCTCATCCAATCAAAATTCGTATAACCATTTCTAGACTCAGTTAAAAGCACCTCCAAAAGTTACTTTACCGCGGCCGATTCTGAACGTGTAAAGCCAACCGTTTTTGGCACGCTGGAGCCGAACTTGAACGCAATATGCCAATTTTGGCTTGGCTTTAGCCGTTTTTGAACGCAGCCCAGTGTTCTTACGCCACTGATGCATCCTTACCATGATCGACCCCCCTCGAGCAGCTCACCTCTCCTGGCCCATGGGGGTACTTGGTCTTATCATCACAACAAACATCAGTTTATGAATGAGATGCGGTGTCTATCTGTCAAATCAAATCAAATCAAATCAAATCAATTTATTTGTGTTAATTTACACTCATGTGTTTACACTTGTCAATAAAAACTACTGTCTAATTCCAATTTACATATTAAAATAGTTTAAAAAGGTTTAAAACACAAGCTAAAAATTACATTAAAAAAAAAACAGGCTAAAATTTACATAAATTAAAATAAACATTTACCTTAACGAATTTTACAAACAAATTTCAAGAATAAAAACATTACATCAGGTTAAGATGGCACAATTACTATTATTATTACTTATACTATTTTTCACTGCAATTTACCATCCATCCAGCTAAGTGTGGGTTGTTAAACTCTTGTATAGAATAAAAAGCCTTGGAAATCAAAAAGTCCTTTACTTTCTCTTTAAATTTAGACTTACTTAGATATTTCAGGGGATCAGGAAGCCGATTAAAAAATGTGACTGCATGGAACCCGGGTCCATTTTGGCACCTTTGTAACCGGTGAAAGATTGGTTGTAGGTGGTTTTTGTTTCGCGTGTTGTAGTTGTGAATGTCACTGTGGCAGGTATATCCGTCATGGTGGTCTTTAACATACATCAAATTTTGGAGAATATACTCACATGGCAGAGTCAGGATTCTGTTATTAATAAAGGCCTGTCTTACATCTTCCCTATAACCCAATCCCGCAACAATCCTCACAGCACGTCTCTGCATAGCAAAAACCCCCTGTGCACCACTAGAGTGGCCCCAAACGAGCAACGCGTAGCTGAGATGCGAGTGGAAGACAGCAAAGTAAGACTGTTTGAGAATTCTTGGAGACACGCACACCGACAAATTCCTTAAAACAAAAGTATTTCTACCTAGCTTCTTCATAGTCATCTCAGTGTGAGCATCCCACAGTAATTTCTGGTCGAGAGCAACCCCAAGGAATACGACACTACCTGCCATCGGTTCTGTTCTTTTTAATGAGAAAACATAGTTTTGGGTTTTGGCTTCGTTCAAGAAGAGTTTATTAGCTGAAAACCATTGCTTGGCTCTTGCCTGTGCCTCTCTAGACATGTCGGTTGCTGTCTGTATGTCGGTGTGTTTGACTTGTTCTGTTGTGTCATCTGCAAAATTGAAGATTTTTTCTGTTCTTGCTATGTTTGGCAGGTCGTTTATGTAAAGTAAGAACAAAATAGGCCCCAGGATCGAACCTTGGGGTACTCCCATTCTGACTTCCTGCTTATAGGACATTATATTGTTAAAACTGACTGCTTGTTGACGTTTTGTTAATTATGATCTTATAAGATTTATGCTTTGAGGTGAAAAATGATAAAAAGGTAGTTTGTCAAGTAAAATGTCGTGAGAGACACAGTCAAAAGCCTTGCTCAGGTCGCAAAAGATTGAGACTGTGTGTTGTGAGTCTTCAAAACCCTCCATTATGTTTTCTACTAGTCTTAGGATTGCCAAAGTGGTGTTTTTGCCCCCTCTAAAACCAAACTGGTTTGGGCTCAATATTTCGTTAATTTCAAGATAGTTTGTTATCTGGTTTGCAAGACTTTTTTCAATGATTTTGGAAAGAACAGGCAAAAGAGAGATAGGCCTGTAGTTTCCAGGATCACTCGATTCACCCTTTTTATAAATAGGAGTCACCCTAGCTATTTTCATACAATCCGGAAAGGTACCTTCTCTTATGCAACAATTTATAAGCTTTGTAAGAGGAATAAGCAACTGGTTCTTGACACCCTTTATTAAGTTAATATTTAAGTTGTAAATATCTTTGCTTGTTTTATTTTTGAGCCTATCGATCACCCCTCGAACTTCACAGAATGTAACCTCCCTAAAAAAGAATTGCCCCCTCGGTTCCATTGTTGGATGCCAGAGTGGACTCTGCATCACCATTTTTCGTCTTCAAAAAGCACTACGCAATCAACATGAGAGGCATTGGAAACAACACAGTGGCAGGGGTAAGTAATATCTACACTGATGGTTCCAAAACTGAAACAGGCTCGGGATGCGGAGTATGCTCCCAAGACCTCAAACTGAACCTAGCTATAGCCCTTGGCTCTATGCCAAATGTCCTCCAAACGGAAATTACTGGCATAACCATCGCGGCCGAACAAATAGTCAGCAAAAATATCACTGACAAGATCGTGCACATCTACACAGACTGCAGACAAGCAGTACTAGCCCTATCTAGACCGCGACTCACGTAAGAACTAGTACAACGTACATTGTCACCGTACACTCACAGAGACGTCGATCAACAATACGGTGGTAGTCAGCTGGATCAAAGGACATGATCACAGCAAAGGAATTGGGTTGCCGACGCTCTAGCCAGGAAGGCCGCCAGGCTACATACAGCCTTCTGGACCGGAGCCCTTCGTAGGGCTGACCATGTCGGCAGCCAAAGATGATAAAAAAAAACGCTCCCATACCCCCTTCAAAAAACGCTGGGACGATACGATTGGCTCCAACTCATCCAAGGAACTGCTATAAGCTATCCAGATAAAGCTGCAGTGAGCCAAAAGCTGTCGTTGACCAGGAAAAGGCTACGCCTGACAGGCATCTTGACTGGACACTGTGGGTTAAACAAACATTTGTTTAGGTTGCATCTCAGTACCACACCCTTGTGTAGGGCTTGTAATCAAGAAGACTAGACGATAGAGCACATTCTCTGTGACTGCACTGCTCTTTCGCCAATACGCAGAGCCAGATAAGGGCAATTGTACCCATCACTAGAAGAGATCAGAGGCACCGCCCTCAGCGACGTCATCGCCTACGTTGAATCCCTAGGCTGAATGACGAGCTATAATAAAATTTCCCATAGGTTAATGTTCCAGTCCAAATGAAATGAAACAGTTAAATAGGTATTACATGAGAAATATTTATTGATAATCTAATAATGGAATGTTAAGTAGAAGTGCATCAACGAACGGAAAGATATTGCATTGGATGCAATTCGCCAAGATTATTTTTGCAAGGCCACTAATCCAGAAACCTGCTTTAGGCTTTCCCATTGATAATAAGCAAAATTGAAACTTTTAGTTCATTAAATCACTACTAGTGCCATAATAATTTTTATTATATAACTTAAATACTCTAAAATTAGTGGCATAACCTCCTCTTATAAGTAACTTTGAATACCTTATGCAATACATATTCAATAATTATAAATGTAGGTATGTATAATAATACTTAGAAATCTAACAAATCAAAATTACAATAAAGTCAATGAATAAAAAAAATAATAAACGTTGATAAAAAAGCACTTTGCTAGCCAAATGGATTTGAGATTACCTATTTAAAAATAAAAGAATCAGCAAAAAAAATTTTGACTAATACTGAATTTAAATACTCTATAATCAACGAGTCCATTTAACTGCAACTAAAAAACAGATCTGGCTTAACAAGCGTTATCACATAAGCAGCTACCCAAATCAGATAAATAAAATGATAATTACTTGTATTAAATTATCATACTTTTATATGTACAAATTTATCCTTAGGAAGTCAATAGTATCAATCAATAAAATTAACATTTTTTCTACAAATACTATTAAATAGACAATATTCTATTTCTAGGAACATAATTACTGACAAGTGAATGGACACTGAAATTAAATTTTTTGCACTTAGTTGCAATTCTGAGTACCTAATAGAAAGTTTACTTTGAATAGTGTTCGTAGAAAAACAATTTTCAACCCAAGTTTGCCTTCCTACAATACCACCTTCAACACGAACATCTAAAATAAATGCTTCTTAAAATGTTGTGCCACAAAACCATGGAATAAAATAGTAGTTTTCTAACACTAAAAAAACGAACAAATTATGTGCGTGCTTACAATTAACCTTCAGTCATTCAATAGCCTATTTCAAAAAATCCAAAAGATCATTTTTACTTAACCGATTATTATTGTTTTCTGTGCTATTAGACCCAGTGGAAGGCATCAGGGGAACTTGACTACTCCCCATTTGGTTCATTGGAGTCTTGTTAGCAGTGATATTTGCGTTGGAAGGAAGCAAACTATCTAAAGCAGACCAATTTTGAGACATTTGTGGAGAAGTCTGCATCCTAGCAAATGAATTATGGTTAGTGGCCCAAGGGTTGTTATTTGGGGACATCATCTGATTGAAATTTGTGATGTTTTGAGGAAAAGGGTTATAGTTCGTAGTTTGATTGAGAGGCCCACTTGCTATTACCTGATTCATATTAACATTATGATTTGGACTATTTATTTTCAAATTATCATTTTTCTGGCTTCCAAAATTCGCAGTGAAATCATCCAGCAAACTAGAAGTTAAATCTTTAGACTGAATCTTGGGAGGACTTGGAATTTTTTGAGGCTCAATCTTGATTTGATTATTGAATGCTTTGTATGTGTCTTGCTGTTTTGCCATTGCTTGCTTTTGTTCAAGAGTCATTGATGAACTGGTAGTAGATGACGGACTAACTTTTGCCACATTATTATTTGAATTTGCAGATGTAAAATTATCCAATCCCAATCCGGAAAATGCTTCACCAAGTTCCATAGGTTTGGTACTTGGCGTCACTGTAGGCATTGAAGAAGTCAGCATTTTTTGTTCATCCTTAACTGAATTTAATTGTTCCAGCTTAGTTCTATGTTCATTTTCAACAGCTTGAAACATTTCTTTCACTAAAGATGTAATAGCACCAAATTGTGCTAAAGTTAGACCATTCTCTATGCACAGAGGAATCAAAAAGGGCAATATTCTTGTGGCCATAATTTCCTTGCTGATGCCCAATTTTTTATGATTCATGGCAATTTTGTAGATACCTAAAACTCCCATTAGAACTGCTGGTTCTCGTGACGGTATCTGAGGTAAAAAGGGCAGCACTTCATCAAGCACCAACCATTTATCCAAATGTTCCAACAATTTACCAACACACAATAAACAATTTACTCTGACACTTAAAGTGGATGTATTTAAGCATAATTTTTTAATTCTTGGTAATAAACTATTTTTCACATTAGCATGGTCTAAAAGTCCAGCAAATGTTGGTAAAATTGACAAGCATAATTCGTGAATCTGTGGAGAATCTGAATCTAAACCTCTATAGAGCATGGGCAGAACATGCTGTTGCACATCTTCTGCTGGAGTCAACTTAAGTAAAAGTTCCATTCTTTGCAACATGATAAGTAGTATCTAAAAATAAGTTAAATAAAAAAAAAAACAATCAATAATAATTTTAAACTTACTTGTATAGGTTCCATAATTTTCATTAAAGGTTTCAAATGTGGCAGCACACAACTTTTAAATTCTTCCTTACTACAATCCTGTGATATATCAAAAATGCTTGGCAAAATAAATGGAACCATAGTTGGCTGACCTAAATCTCTCACAAGGCATGCCAAAACTCTTTGCAATTTGACTCTGTGTGGTAATTTAGATAGAGCTTCAGGCAGACCTTTGTAAAATTGGGATTTTTGCAAATTGTCCCATTGGAGCAAAGAGTCTAGATAGGTAAGAGTTTTCACTCCTACATCATCAAAGTAAGGGATCTAAAAAAAAATAAAAATTTAGCATGGTTTTGGGTTTTTATATTGATTTTATTATATGAACCTTTATGAATTGATGAGCATCAGGTCTAATTTCCGGAGTGAGGTTTAATAGGAGCTTAACAAATTCTCTTAAGTCATCTGGAATGCCTTGAAGTTTGTTTACACTAAGATTTTTCAATTGCTGAACTCTGGATTTACACTGATGCAAGTCTTTCACTGGCGAAAAACATTGTTTTCCTGGGGAGTGTAATGTATAGACCAGCATACCTTGAAATAGTTGAAAGTATTACGATTTGTTTCAAAATAATGATGAGAAAAGAAAATTAACATAAAATTATGGATGGTTAGATCAAAGCGAATTAACCACAAACCATACAGCAATTACTCATAAATGAAAATGTGGGCCAATTTTTTGGTATATGTTTTATTTGAAAACAGTTACCCCTTTTAGATATACAGGGTGTTGAAATTTAAAAAACTTCCACATCATTTGATGGGATATTGGAAAATTCGTATATTGTATCCCCATTTTCTATTCATATGAAATAATGTTCTTACTCAATCCTATGGTTTTTAGATGTTTTGTGAGATTTTTAGAGACAATTCCCTGAGCCAAGATTATTGGCGGAACTGTTGTTACCCCTTGTAACTGCCAGATGTTTATTATTATTATTAGTTAACAATACTGAGAGGTGAAAATAAACCGATGAGACTATTGTATTGAGTCGGTTACTATCCTAGCACTAATAAAATTTCTATTTATACAGGGTGTCCATTTAGTGCGATATCAGACAATATCTCCTTACAGGGTGATGCAAGAAGAAAAAGTTAAATTACAAAGTTGTTTCATATTCTAATATGCATTATTTAAAAATATTTTTGAATATACAGGGTGCTCCGTTTATGGGGTATGCGGCAAAACTTTGTTATTTTAAATAGAACACGTTGTATGTGATTGCAGAAAAATTTTCAACCATCTGCCAATTCATGTTAAGACTGCCAACAGTGTAAAGTGCTTTAGACGGTTACTTAAGGGCATTCTACTGACTAAGGCATATTATACCCTGGAAGAGTTTTTTACAGACAACTTTATGTGAGATATGAGACTTTTTTTTATCACTATATGTTATTTGGTTATTTTTTTATTTTAATTTTTTTTTTTGTATTTTGTATTTTTATAGTACTTGTTCTTTTACCTTTTTAGTTTTACTGATTTTACATTTTGTCCTTTTGGTTTTGATGTTTTTTCGCTTTAGCAACAAATTTTTGTGTTATAATTTTATTGTAATTTAGGAAATGTATAATATCATGCTTTGTCAACAGAAATTTGATTTTCTTGGACAATAAAGTATTTTTTTTACTACTAACCTGAGAAATAGTCATTATTCAATCTATTTTTTTAGGAAAAAATTGAATTTCTCTCCCTAGGTTAATAATGAAAATAATGAAAAAATACCTAGGTCAATAATGAAAATGACGTCATGATGCAAGGATATTGTCATGTTTCTATTGGTCCAATTTCAATTTCATACGTCAATTCAAAAAAAATACAGGTTTCTGTAGGTACATATAGGAAGTTATCATAAGCTGTTGTTAGAGGGCAGCACTTTGAAAAGGGCGTTCAAAAAAATAATTAAGAGCACAGATTTTGAATATTTTTTTTACTTTCTACTAGTAGTAGTAAAAAAAATTCTATATATTCCTCGGTAGAGAGTCATTATATACCTTACACATATAAAAGCGCTCGGTATATAATGACCAACTTCTCTACCTAGGTATATAATATACTATTTTGATTTGATTTGATTTGATTGATATTTGGATTCTACGTTAAATTCTGAGCAGATTTCATGTAATATACCCTATTCCTAAGTTCAACTGTTTTGGAAATATTGACAGTTGAAAATTGACTTTTTGCAAGTTTGGCAGGCTGTAAAACCTAAACGGTTAATTTTAGAGGAAAACCGATTTTACATTCCTATCTTAGATTTTAATGAACTATCATTTGACACCAACTTTGAATTTAATCCATGATTAAAAATTCCAGCCAAATTTAATCTCCAGTTAAATTTAAAGTTGGTGTCAAATGATAGGTTATGAAAATCTAAGATAGGAATGTAAAATCGATTTTCCTCTAAAATTAACCGTTTAGGTTTTACAACCTGTCAAAGTTGCAAAAAGTCAATTTTCAACCGTCAAGTTTTCCAAAACAGTTGAACTTAGGTATATGGTATATTTTTTGAAGTGGACACCCTGTATATTAATTGGTATAGTGCACAAATGATCTTGTCCATTCAGTCATTTCACTGTCCAGTTCGTTTTTGAACAGATTGACTGAAGATGCATTTACTACAGTGTCCCAACTGAGTTGATTCCAATTATAAACTACCTACTTGATTGGACAAAAAATTTCTACGCAAAAGCGTGGCACATCTCTCCTTACAAAATTTCTTGTTATGACGCCTTAGATGCTGGCTGTCACTGAACTCAAACATACCCTACTGGCGTTTGTAGTGTCTACTAATTATTTTGAATATCTGTACTAGATCCCCACGCGTTCGACGCTCATAAAGTGTAGAGAGGTTCAGCCTGTGCAGCGTTTGTTGGTATATGGAAGGTCACAAAGAGCTGGGGAAATTTTTGTTGCTCTTTTGGATTTTTTCAAGTGCTTCAATGTCCTTGACATAATAAGGACTCCATATGCTTTGGGCATACTCCAGCCTGAGTCTTATGTGAGCCTTGTACAGCTTTACAAACATTTGGGGTGTGAGATCTTCAAAATGCCTTGGAAATCAGGAACACGATGGAGTTTGACTTCTTTATGATGCCATTGGCATAGTTTTCCCACTTCATGTCTTCAATGACAACAATTCCCAAACCATTTTGTTCAGCAATACAGATTACCTGGGTAGACCCAATAAAGTATTGCATCCTCCTGGGGTTGTTTTTGGCCAGGTGGAGAATTGAACACTTGGAGTCATTCAGTGACATTTGCCAGGTGGTTGTCGAGTGTTTGATCACATCTATTTCATCTAGGAGGCTTCCATTCTGCGTTACAGGATAACAATAGCTTTGTTTTGGTTCGAAAAAAGGACGGTTCTAGAACGGTTCAAAACAATCGCACAGTTTATTATTGAAATTTGTGATAGGCGAGCCGTTGTCATTTTGTTGATTGATGAACTGTGCTGGAATCGTCCTTTTTTCGAACCAAAACAAAGCTTATAACAATAGGTATCCTCCGCAAATGACGACATCATCATTATTTAAAGAACATAATACATAAATTATAGTTTATAGTCAAAATACACAAATAATAGCACCTAGCTGATTTAACAGCTGTATGTGCTGAAAGCACCCAAATGTTATGTACAAATATCTATGTGCATGAACATACAAGTTAGGCCATTATTTCAAAACCAATAGGTATTTACAAATTTATGAGTTATATAAATTGTGTGCTGTTCATATATATACAGGGAGTCCCACGGTGGATGGCTTCAACTGTTTCGGAAATATTGACAGTTGACAATTGACTTTTTTGCAACTTTGACAGGCTGTAAAACCTAAACGGTTAATTTTGGAGGAAAACCGATTTTACATTCCTATCTTAGATTTTCATAAGCTATCATTTGACACCAACTTTGAATTCAATACGAGATTAAATTTAATTGGAATTTTTAATCATGGATTAAATTCAAAGTTGGTGTCAAATGATAGTTTATGAAAATCTAAGATAGGAATGTAAAATCGATTTTTCTCTAAAATTAACCATTTAGGTTTTACAGCCTGTCAAAGTTGCAAAAAGTCAATTTTCAACTGTCAATATTTCCAACACAGTTGAACTTAGGTATAGGGTATATCACATGAAATCTGCTCAGAATTTTACGTAGAATCCAAATATGCAATCACATACAGGGTGTTCCATTTAAAATAGCGATGTTGCCACTGGTCTAGACTAGAAGCGGCAACACCGCATAAACAAAAATAATTTTAAAGTGTAGATTATGGTCGTTCATCCCGGTTGCAAAATTTTTAACATGATCCGCTTTTTAGTTCTCCATAAACGTCTAATAAGCCATCCACCTTGGGACACCCTGTATAGTTTCTACAGGCTATGCTAAATCTTTTCATGTTTTTCAGCTTTCTAACATTCTCAGGCAGCAAGTTCAACAGATAAAGACAACTTTTGAGATTTCAAATATGTAATAGATAGGTATAGGGTAAGTCACCATATTTTGACACCCACCTGCAGCCATAATTACAAGTGATATGTAAATACAAAAGTTGTAGCATTTTATCTGAACCACCAGAAAAGTAAAAGGGAACCTAAGAATTTTTGGAAATATATCCGGCAAAAACAGCAAAAATCTTGTATACCAGGATCAATGATTCTGGACCAATTGTCATTAGAGTCCCCGCAAAATCCATCCACTATGGATTTGCCAATTTTTTCAAAAGTGTATATGTTGCATCATCAAATCCCTTCTTAATTAACCCTGTCGAGCCCTACAACTCTCAAAATATATCCATTAACAATATTTTTCAACATGAAGTGTGCAGTGCACTCAAAAAATTAAAAGATACAAAAACTGCGGGTTATGATAAAATACCTTTTTTTATAATATTGCGTGATTGCTCACCGTTTCTATCAGTGCCCTTACATCTTATCTTCAATAAAATTTTAAAAAATAATATATTTCCGGAACAATGGAAAAAAACTAAGATTTGTCCTGTCTTTGAAGCAGGTCAAAATAATAATAACTAACTATCGACCTATCTCCATACTGTCCAACTTTTCGAAGGCCTTTGAAATCTGTATTCACAACAGTCTCTTCCATCAAGTTACAAACCTAATATCTCCTACTCAACATGGCTTCTTTCCACAGAGATCAACTGTCACAAATCTTACAAGTTTCCTACAAAAAGCTTATCTTGCTATCAATAATAGGAAAGAACTTGCCGTCATATATACTGACTTTTCAAAGGCCTTCGATAAGTTGGATCATGGTCTCGTTGCCCAGAAAAAGTACAACATTGGGTTTCATAGGTACCTGATAAATCTATGGATCTCATATTTGAGTGGGAGAACACAGTTTATGGAGTACAACGGTTTTCGTTCTGCCGACTTCAGCTCAGCGCTTCTAGTTGCGCTCCTCAGGGAAGCAATCTAGCTCCTCTAATATTCGCTATATCTGTGAATGATATCACTGACACTATCTCATCTAAGTATGTACTGTTTGCTGATGATCTGAAAATTTTTAGAATTCTTGACACCATACAGGACTGCTCAGAATTACAAAACGACATTGACTCCTTGTCTTCTTGGTGTATCACAAATAAACTTCCGCTAAATATTAATAAATGCCAATCTATGACTATTTCCAAACTTCATAATGAAGTGAAGTTTGCATATAGACTTGAAAATACCAATCTTCCAAGTGTAGATTTCATACGAGACCTTGGGGTGATTATCGACAGTAAACTAAATAAATAAATATCGCCTTTATTCAATATTAAGAACAGAAAAAAAAATCGACAAGATACATTCCCATACTAATCCAACATTTTCTGAAGGCTTAACTTTTCTTTGTCAGGATAGGATAAAGTCAAATTCCTGTAAAGTTTTTGGTGGTGTCCCCCAAGGCTCAGTCCTTCGCCCTCTACTCTTCCTTGTATATTGGGGGTTCCATCATTTCATATGCATGTGACAATGTCTTGGTTTTCTCAGCCGGGGACTGGGACTCTGTTATAGATATGGTGGTTGAGGGCCTTTCTATTGTCAGGAATTAGCTGGATTATCATAAGCTTTCTTTGAATTTAGATAAAACACATTATATAGCATTCTCTTCAACTAATGGTAATCATCCTAATTTCTATAGCATCGACATTCGGCATAAATGGGATGGAAACCTACATCAATAAGAGAGGTTTCTAATACGAAATATTTGGGCATAATTATTGATCGTCATCTCAAATGGGAACACCATGTTTTTAGATTGAAAAAAAATCTTAGGAAGCACATCTACAAATTCTATATGTTGCGTGATATAATGTCAAAACAGCTTTTAACTATGATCTATGATCAATAAAGCACTGGCGGAGTCATTAATTAGATATGGAATCGTGATATGGGGAGGGGTTTATAAAACCATAACCTTTTCTAAATCTCATGCATCAATTTTTTATGAATATAAATTAAATGATCAAGTAGTTGAAAGAGTGGACTCTATTAAGGATTTGGGAGTTACATTTAGACAGGACCTAACATTTAACTTACATATTGAGAATATTTGTAATAGGGCAATGAAACTTTTGGGATTTTTATTTCGCACCCTCAAAGATTTTAATAATATTTTTACTATAAGGAGTGTTTACTGTTCTGTAGTGAGATCCCTTTTGGAATATGCTACCCCAATTTGGTCACCACATTATGGGGTCCATATAAATTGTGTTGAGAGAGTTCAGAAACGGTTTCTAAGGTATATTGCCTATAAGATGCATATACCATCAGAAGAGGTCTGCTACAATGACCTGTTGCGGTTGCTGGGTCTTTCTAGTTTAGAGGCACGTAGAAGGAATTATGATATTTGTTTACTTTTCAAGTTGCTTAATAACTTAATTGACTGTCCCCCTTTGTTGAACAGCATTTCCCTGCGTGCCCCTGTGAGACAGACTAGGCAAGTGCATCTTTTTCATAGCGAGTATCATAGGACTAATTATGCTTTTTTTCTGCCCTATGGCTAGAATATGCAGAGAAGCTAATCAGCTACCCAACAATTTTGATTTTTTTGGCATGTCTCTGAAAACTTGTAAACATTTGTTAAATAGTCTGCAGCGCTAAATGTCAGTGTATTTATATGTACCGTAAATGTTAAATTTTAAGTTCTTGTGTTTTTCGTTAATATTATAACGTCATTATTTCAATACAAATTATATCATTTTAGTTGGTGTGTACCTACTTAATTATTTTGTTTAAACTTACCCAAAGAAAACATATCACTCGCAGTTGAGTGACTCTGTGTCAAAATACATTCCGGAGCAAAATAATTCAAGTTTGGTTGACACACACTAGGAAGTGTAGGAGAATATTCTTGAAAAGGAAAGTTTGCTGCCTGATTTGGAGGGTTGGTGTCGTGAACGCAAAAATCTAAACCGAAGATCTTCCATACTCCTGACGAATTGATAACAATACTTTCTGGACATATATTTTTATGTAGCAGTTTAACGTCATTGTGCAGAAACTGCAAGCCTTCAGATATTTGCAATAAGCCATATTTGATTTCAACATCAAATAGTTTATAGTCTGACATGTTAGCTGGCTGAGGCATGTTGGTAGTTTCACCTAAAATATTGGCCAAACTAGAGAATATTGGTTCAGTAGCAAAAGCTAAACTGTCTCGGCTTTCTTCTAAAGAATGTTGCACTGTTAAAACTTGAGGATGTCTGATCTTAGTCAGCTGTTGTACCCCATGCTTCAAACTCTCCAAAACTAACTCCCGATCATTTTTATTCCATTTCTCTAGCTGGCGCTTTTCAAATACAAAAATTGAGGCTTCTTGTTTAGTGGAACGTTTGGTACCTTTGTAAATTTTCCAGAGGAGCCCTATAAACATATCAAATTAAAGTAATTTTTATAATAATTATAAATTGATTACCTGGTCCAGCTGAAGCAATATGTGCAGAAGATTCATATTCTCTGGTAACAGGATTACCTGGTAATACTCCTGATAATTGAGATACAGTTTGGCTCACTGAACTACTTACTTGGTACAGGTATTTATTAAAAACTTCCATTTTTGCAAGAATTCAATTAGAGTTTATTTAAAATTGGAAAAGTTTTATTTACTATTTTTGTATGTGTATTGTTTTGACAGACATATGAGGTGACGTGTTTCTTGTCGTGAGAAATATAAGGGGTTTTCATTTTGTATATTCTAGATCTGCTCCGAGTAAACCTGTCTGGACCCCAATTCTAGACACGGAAAAATCTAAAGGCAACTTTTCCCATGTAGAGTAAATAGATGGATAGAAATAAGAAAAGTTCAGGACTGGGATTCTGTAACGAATAGAGATATTTTCGCCATCTCTATGGACCTCCCCTCTCTATTCATTTCGAAAAGAGGGAAGGCGGCAAGCAGCAATTGCCTCTTGCGATATCGCGAATCGATCTCTATCAGGGATGCTATCAGCACTAAAAAAATTGTACCAGAAAGTAGGGAATGATTGTACTAGATTGACGACATTGTGTACTAGCTGAAAGCGCGTCAAATTTTGAAATTTGAATACAAATGTAGGCTCTGAAAATTGAGGGTAAAGTCCGACAAATACCATTTTAAAGTCACGTGATACTGGCCCACTAGCATTTTACAAACGCGTTTCTGGAGTAGTATTGACCAATCAGAGGGCAATTTTAATACTTGCAATTGTTGCGAGACTCACTTTTGTCGTATCCGCTGTCTGTTGTAATACATTCTGAACTTAAACTGGGTATCCGTTTTCTATTTGCTTCTTTTCGAGTTGGAAAAAGGTTAATATAGTCAAAATTATTAGCTGTGTTTGTTCATTGTATTATTTTCGAAAATAACTTTGACAAACTAATTGATGACAGTGATGGATTCTATTTCAGGTAAGAATTTTATGAACAATAATTAGAGAGCAATTTTTTTGTCAATTTTACTATCACCGCTGTTTGAGATGTATTCAACAAGGATAGAGAAAAATCACGTGACTTTAAAATGGTATTTGTTGGACTATAAATCACTGACCTCTATAAAGGATAGGAAGGGTTAGAGATCAGTGGGGTAAATAGGTATCACTTGTTTTAGGGTCGGTTTCTCAATACCGAGTCACCTCCAGGTTGGTTTTAACTCCAGGGTAAACGTGTCCGTCCATTTGCAATGTTTACCCTGGACTTATGCTTAACCCGGAAGTGACTCGCTATTGAGAAACCGGCCCTGATTCATAGAAATAAATAAATTTCTACATACAGATCGTTTCACGAGAGTTCATACTTTTGACATTGAAGACGTCATAATTTGAAAAAAAAGGGTTGTCGTGTCGTAGATTAATTTATATGTCACATACAATTTTTTTTACAAATTAAAATAGACCTATCTATTTTTACCTGTATGCGCGCGCAACACGAGGCAATGCATTTTTATTGGCTAAGGGCCGAATTTATAGTCGCTCCTTGAGGTTTCCTCAGACCTTAAGGAGGCCTTGAACGTTTAGAATTGACTTGACAAACTTGTCAAATAGGAGCAAGTGTCCATTCTAAGCTCACGACCTTCAAGGAAGACCCAAGGAACGACTATAAATTTGGCCCTAACTAGTACAGGTGTAGAATAATCTTTTTGCACGTTGGGCATCTCCTTGTCCTTGTTCATTGCCCGTGGTCTGACAAGGATAAAATTATGCATGATATTCAACTTGACGCAGCTCACTGACCTCTACGCAGCTTGACAAGTGATCGATTTTCAATTGTTTTTGTTTTTGATTGACAGATAGGTTGCACGTCACGCGGTTTTCCTCCTTCCTTTTTTATCCCGTGCAAATAATAAGAACGGATTGCTATACGTAAGTCTAACATAATTTGGTACGTTTTGCCTCGTCTTGCGCAATCGTTCTGCGTCTTTTTCTATCTAATAAAGATTTCGTATTATTACCTCTTTGTCTGGTAAAATAGATAGGTCTATTAATGACTTCTGGTCTAAGAACCGACGAACGTTTCTGACGATTGATTTGTTCCAGTTAATTTATATTTGTTAAAGGGAAAACAAATTATGTCTACATGACACACGTCAAGTTACAGACAGCGTTGCCACCTCACGAAAATTAAATGTAATAGATTGAAGCCAAAATTGTAATAGATTTGACTTTTTGGTAATAGATTCTTTCATCTGTCACTTCTGTCAGTTATGCATGAGAGATAACCAAAATATTGAATAGGACTCCACCATTATGCGCCGTATTTATTTTTATGCTGTGTTTTTATGCTCATCAATTTACTCATTTGCGTTAGTTTTTGTTGCCATAAATTAGATATAAAGTGTGTTTTTTTTTAGAGATAAAAGTCAAAATGACATATTATGTTGGCAATACCAATGAACTATAGCACAGCCTCCTACTAAAAACTGGAATGCGCACACATTGCCATATCTGCCAAAAAAATGAAGCCATGAAAGACAGATGCCACAAGGGGGAATGTTGTTTTTTTCTGTTGCTCGCTGACATATGACGTTTTCGAAAGTTTTGTCATATTTCCCTTCACAGGTTTCATCAATTGGAATACGTGTTGAAAGCAATTTTCGCCATTTAACGTAAATGAGTGCGACAAAAACAGGTATCCCCTCCGCAGCAGCCGCACTAGGCTTCAAGTTCGTCCTTATGTGTTAGCATTCCAGTTTTTGGTTATAGTTCATTGGGCAATTAGGCAATTTAATCCATCTGTCAAACAGGAAAATTCAATATGGCGTGGCGGCCAAGCAAGCTTGTTTTGAATATGTTTTTATGTGTATTTTAAATTATTTTGCTTAGATTTTTACTTGTAACTTTGATTTTGATTATTTAATACGATATTTATTGGCTAGGTACCTAAACTATTAAATCGGGCAGAAAATAGATATTTTTTTATGTTTTTTGGCCCATGTGTGGCCGCCACGCCATCTTGAGTGTCACATGGTTTGAATTGCCTTAATACAATGTAAAATTGTCAATACTCTCAAATTTTTTATGTAGAAAAGACTTGTGTTGACAACATAGTTACTAAATTTTTGACTTGGGGAATTATCTTTAAAAAAAAAAACAGATTTTAGGTATAGGATTATTTATTCTTTAGTTATAGAATCACTTAGTTCAGAATCAGTTCTGAATTGAACTGCGCTCACGCATTTGTTCATACCAAACATAAATAAACAAATGCGCATGCGCAGCTCAATTCAGAACTATTCTGAACTAAGTCCGAACAAACCTATTATGAAACTGAAAGTGAAGCATTTTCATTCAGCGGTTTTCAGTTTTCACGCACAAAGGACACAACATTGACAAAAGATGATTTTTTAAAGTGTTCTGCGTGATTTGATGTGATAATTTATGATACCTGTAAAATTTTTCAATTGCTTATTCACCAAAACATAATTTTCCCAAAAAAGTAAAGTCTGTTTTTTTTTTTAAAGATAATTCCCCAAGTCAAAAATTTAGTAACTATGTTGGCAACACAAGCCTTTTCTACATAAAAAATTTGAAAGCATTGACAATTTTACATTGCATTGCCAACATAATGTCATTTTGACTTTTATCTTTAAAAAAAAAAACAGATTTTAATAGATTTTTTCCTTTGGTAATAGCGTAATAGAAATTACTTGATTGTAATAGATCTATTACGATTGTAATAGGGGTGGCAACACTGGTTACAGAATAAAAAAGTGCGTGTGCGTTCGAAACGCCAATTTCTTGTTTGGCTTTAGCCGCACTGAAGTGGGACCTGGAACGTGGAACCCGGAACCCAACCCACAAGTAGAGAGTAGAGCTCAGAGTACGGTACAGAGCGAAGAGCGACACTCGACTCGTAATCTAAATTGTACTAGATTTATGAGAGTGAAATGTCATTGTGCTAGATCTAGTACAATTGTACTAGAAATAGCATCCCTGATCTATCTGCGTAGGGTAGAGTGGGGCAGCTTCGGACGGATTTGGTTAAGGTGATACCGAACTTTTATTCCAGCTAAACTAAATAATTCTAAAAGTGCAAATATATTGCTTCATATGTTTTTAAACCAATACCATAGCAATTTTAGAAAAAACTTGCACCATTTTTCGTGAAAATTAAAATAAAAATAAGTTGTCATTTGTCCGAAGGTGCCCCCCACGGTGGGGCAGTTTTGGACACGCATGGGGTAACTCCGGACATATACTTTACACACAGTTTATTTTTTGACAGGTATATTTTAAATAATTTAGCATCTATCTAAACATCATTAACATCAAAACTTATCATCTAAAGGAACATCAAAACTTATCATCTAAAGGAACTTCAAACATACAACCTATAAACTTTGGCATTAGCCAACAAAAATAAATAATATAAAAATAACAAAAATAAATAATGACTAAAAAACGTGAATTAAACATGTTTTTATAATTAAAGTATACAAGAATTTGTTTCAGATTAAAGGAACTAAAATTTACAATGAATTTTAAAAATTTAGCCATGCGGAGCATTTTCAGCATGGGAAGTTGATAGTCCGAATGTGCCCCACCCTGTACCTTCCGTATGTGCCCCACCCTGTACCTTCCATATGTGCCCCACATGTACAAAATTTAAAAAAATAAATAAAAAAACAGAAAATTATAGGTGTTTTTTCTCGACCCCAGCAGTTCGAAATGTTTTTGAACCTATTTAAAAATGACGTCATTACTTTCATTCGAGAAAAAATCTGGTTTTCAAACCAGGATTTAACCACAGTTTAACCATACATACCTAACCTAGGATTTTTGTTTGTTTTTTTTTTCTGGTAATTAGCCATAGCAACAGCCTCCTATAGTTAACAAGCCATGAAATTGGAAATGACGGCAACGTCGCGTATGGTGCTATTTTGTTATTGGGTTATGTGTTTCTGTGTATTGCTTTCATTGTGTATTGTTGCAATTAATATTCTTATGGGCATTATTGACGAAAAAGTGGATAGAAACACACCAATATATTGCCCATATTTAGTTGATACCTGTTCCTTTGTGCTTTGATTGCAAATTTTTAGCAAATGGGTACAGGAGCAAAAATGAAGGTAAGGTAAGGTAAAACAATAAAAACAATATTAATATTTGTCTGCAAGAGCATAGGTCTCGATATATTACCTAAGATATTTAAACTTGTTCCAGATGCCATGAAACTTCTGTGTTCCTGGGTGCAAATCGAACTATTAGGAGTTCCTTAAAAACTGAAGAAATGCAAACATTTTTATTTCCAAAAAAATTCTGAAGTGCAAAAAATGTGGATGAAAGCAATACACCAAGATAATTATACCCGAGATTATACAATAACGAAAAATTCTGTGGTGTGTTGTAAACATTTTGAAGAAACCGAAATAATTAGATTTGAAACAAACAAGGATAAAGGCGTAGTTCGAGAGTTCAAACTAAAACGTCCAACTCTTAAAAGTAGGTACCTCTTATTTTCGAAAATCAGCTCAAGTATTTGAATGGACTTGCCTTCCGAAAAAATCCCGAAGAAAGAAAAAGTTAGATTTTCAAAAGACATACTGAAACATAGGCCTATAACACTTTAGACTCTAGAAATATATTCATTTAAATCAATTATTAACTGTTCTTATTTACACAAATAGTTAAATTATTCATTGAATTACTGTTTTTGGCCCTTTAGTACAATAAATTATGTATTCTTTGTGATTCATATTAATAAAATAAAAAATATATATTTATACAAACAAACACCACCAGCACCACTTGGCGGTAAGATTGCGGTGTTGCCTTTTTAACTTCATGGCTTGTTAAATGTAGGGGGCTGTGCCATAGCCCTAATAGCCTATTTTCTATTTTTCAAAAAATTTAAGAGTGTTCTGTTCATGATTCTATAACCTGCTACCAAAGACACAACACAAATATAAACATAAACAACAAATTAGGGATGTCAATAACCGGTGGTTAAAACCGAAAAACCGGTGTTTTCTTTTCAGTTAACTGGTTAAAACCAGTTGTTTTTTGCTTCCAGTTATAACCGGATAACCGGGTTTCATACCTAATAACCGGTGAAAGTGAAACATGTAGACTTTTGTCTTATTAAATAAATTGTAAAATATTGAATAAGTGACAACAGTCGAATACCTATTTCCACAGTCTTTAACCAATAGTAGTGCCTATCTTTAGTATTTCATTTCAGTTTTGGTTGATTCGTTCAGCAGCGGGTTGTTTTCTCAATGGGTACATGTTTAAAATGACAGACGAGAAGAAAAGTGTAGGTATTCTTTGATGATTTTTCTTAACATGTAACAGTTCCCGATTTTTTTTACAATGAAGATATGTTGTTGTTTAATTAAGTTTACATTATAGTATAAATAATGCAATTATTCTGATAAAATTCGGAAAAACAACCGAACAACCAGTTAATCGGAATAACCGGTGTTTTATATCAGTTATAACCGGGCAGTTAAAACTGTTACTAAATTAACCGGTTAATGGAAAAACCGGTGTTTTAATAAAAATTGACATCCCTACAACAAATTGTCAACTTTCTTAAACTATTGCGCATGCGTTTGTTTTTGAACCCAGGCGAAATCTCGTTTCAAAATATCAAACAGTTTTGTTATGACGTCATTTGTTCAACGCGAAAATGTAATGTTTTGAATTAGGTACAACTACAGTGGCTAAATAAACCTTTACATACAGTGGCGACAATAGAGGTTCCGCCGCCATCTTGTTACTTTTAAATATTAGTATATAGGATTTAAATGGACATCTATCATAAAAAATTGAAATCGACGTATTTGATGACCATTATTAGGTCCATCAAATACGTTGTTTTCCATGATTTATGATGGATGTTCACCTAAATCCCATATATTCATATTCAAAAGTAACAAGGGGTTGGGAACAAGATGGCGGCGTTTTTAATATAAATATATGGGATTGTAGAACCAATCAAAAATGAGACAGCAATTGTCGCCACTGTGGGTTATAGAGTCACTGTAGGTACAACCACAGCCCCCTACATTTAACAAGCCATGGAGTTAAAAAGGCAACACCGCAATCTTACCGCCAAGTGGTGCTGGTGGTGTTTGTTTGTATAAATATATATTTTTTATTTTATTAATATGAATCACAAAAAATACATAATTTATTGTACTAAAGGACCAAAAACAGTAATTCAATGAATTATATTTCTAGAGTCTAAAGTGTTATAGGCCTATGTTTCAGTATGTCTTTTGAAAATCTAACTTTTTCTTTCTTCGGGATTTTTTCGGCAGGCAAGTCCATTCAAATACTTGAGCTGATTTTCGAAAATAAGAGGTACCTACTTTTAAGAGTTGGACGTTTTAGTTTGAACTCTCGAACTACGCCTTTATCCTTGTTTGTTTCAAATCTAATTATTTCGGTTTCTTCAAAATGTTTACAACACACTACAGAATTTTCCGTTATTGTATAATCTCGGGTATAATTATCTTGGTGTATTGCGTTCATCCACATTTTTTGCAATTCAGAATTTTTTTGGAAATAAAAATGTTTGCATTTCTTCAGTTTTTAAGGAACTCCTAATAGTTCGATTTGCACCCAGGAACACAGTAGTTTCATGGCATCTGGAACAAGTTTAAATATTTTAGGTAATATATCGAGACCTATGCTCTTGCAGACAAATATTAATATTGTTTTTATTGTTTTACCTTACCTTACCTTCATTTTTGCTCCTGTACCCATTTGCTAAAAATTTGCAATCAAAGCACAAAGGAACAGGTATCAACTAAATATGGGCAATATATTGGTGTGTTTCTATCCACTTTTTCGTCAATAATGCCCATAAAAATACTAAATTGCAACAATACACAATGAAAGCAATACACAGAAACACATAACCCAATAACAAAATAGCACCATACGCGACGTTGCGGTCATTTCCAATTTCATGGCTTGTTAACTATAGGAGGCTGTGGTACAACCAATTTAAGCGAGAAAAAACACCATGTCTTGTTGATTCTTGAAATATAGGTTATGTGGTGTGAAACTATCATACTTTGTACGTATACCCCTTTAAAACTTAAAAATAACATCACCAAATCGTGCAAAACCTTACGAGTAGAGGACATAATACTTGGTTGGGGTCACTATTTATGTGGTGATTAATCCCAAGTTATTCAAGATACCGGCACAAAATTTTGTCTGGCGTTTTAAAGCAAGCACTGGTACCAACTGTTAAAATGCCGCCGAAACGCGTTTAGTTTTGGAAGGCGGTAAATTCAAAATGTCCCGAGGTGCCCCATGTCCAAACCTGCCCCACTCTACCCTACAGAATTTCGCCCCAGAACAGGAAGAAAAACCAATATCCATTGTGATTTTGTGAATAACTACACAAATTCACTCTCAGCAAATTGGCCAAATAGTGAAATAAGATAGGAATAATAAGCAGCATTTAGACAAACACATATTTTTATTTATTTATTTTTCAAAGTTGACATTTAAAATAAACCAATAAAATTGATTTCTAGTACCTTGAAAAACAACAAATACGAATACAGCTGAACAATCACAAATCACACATACCTATAATAAAATTCCATAGATTCCTAAACTAAAAATAATAATATAAAATATACAAAATTTAATATAAATTAACAAATATGTACTTAAATTATTATTAACGCAAATAAATATTTTCAAGTCATTACAAATAGTTTGGAAGATTTAGCTGCACAACAACAAAAATTGATTAACTCATGGTGATAAATCTTGAGCCAAAGACCTTGCTTTATACTTTGGATACAGCTCGTCAAATCTCCTATTCAAAAACTGGACTTTATTCAATAGTCCGGAAACTGTCTCTTCCATGTAAGACTGCCGCCTCCATTCTAATTGGGGCAGCAGAAGCTCAGCTTGAGCTACTCTGGATTCCAGAGATTTTACCTTGTTGCATACTGAGTCGACATAGGCGTCTTGCAGTAAGATGTTGTTGGTTTTAGCTGGAAGAAAATATAAGTAGAATGATTTGCTATCATGTAGACTGTTAATTACCAAAACAAGATATTGTTGCGACATCAATATTATAATAGGGATCCTCATTTTCTAACAAAAATGATATTGGGATGAGAAAGTTGTCGTTGTTGCGAATTTTCAATACTTGTTTCTCAGGTGATGCTTCGCATATCTTGTAAAGTTCACTATTAATTAGTTTGTAGTCCATATCGGGATAGATTGTCAGAGTCCTTTCTATTGTTTCAGGCTCATCTGAAATAGTTATTTTTGTCACAAGTACCTAAAATGAAGTTTTTCAGGACGAATCATTGCTGTTTCCGGACGAGGCGTCAGCCGAGTCCGGAATAGCAGATGAGTCCTGAAAAACTTCGTTTAGGTACGTGTGATAAACACTATTTTTTGTCATACGCTTTTTAGAATTCTTCAGAACGCTAAAATTTGCAGATTTTCCTTAATTTTTGAAATCATAAAGGTGCATCCAGAAAGTTCAATAAACAGCGCAAAACATTCGCGAAGTGTGAACGTTGCAGAACATGATTGTCAGTTTCTATGGTAAGTTTGAAAAAGTTGGCTGAAATAAGTGATATCGTAGCAACAAGACAAGTTTGTTTATTTGATGATTTTATCATTTGTTGAAATCATTGAAATTTGTTAGGTTTTGTTTGTTAGAGGTCACAGAATTGTTTGTGGAAACTCACATAAAATGATCCAAAATCCGGAATATATTGCTGATAAGGCGAAATAAATCGTATTGGATTTACTTCCTAGGAAGTTTCGTGCCATTTACCATAAGGAATATGATGCTTTTATTGAATGGAAACACGAAAATGGTATATTTGTTGTAAATGATGATGTGTTGCTGAATTATTTACACGAAAAAGTAAGTAAATATTTCAAAAACTGAATAGCTACTTACGCGTATTTCAAGGCTTTTCCATTAAAATTCTCTCTTAAATTACAGTCGCAAACGTTCAAACCGTCGACAGTTTGGTCGAAATATTCCACGATGAAAGCAGTGTTAAGTGTTAAAGAAAATATCCACATTGACCAATTTCCAAGAGTAATTGCTTTTTTGAAGAGGAATTCGGTTGGTTACGAGCCTAAGAAGTCTAAGGTTTTGTCCAGAGAAGAGATCGATCAATTTCTGGCCACGGCTAGTGATGAAACTTATTTACTTACTAAGGTTAGTTGGCGAAGATGATTTTAAAATAGGTAGATGGTTTTTTATTGTATTTCATTTCATTTTAAGGTTGCTCTTGTCATTGGTCTTTGTGGAGCATGTAGAAGAGAGGAATTGTACTCTCCACAAGTGCAAGACATCACAGAAAAAGACAACAACTGCCGTCTAGTCACTCTTGCAGATTAATATCAAAAGAATGTTTCCGGTGGTGGGCGAAGGGAACAGTGCCAATTCAGTTGAGTTGTATAGAAAATATGCTTGTCTTCTGCCAAAAAATGTACCTCATGATTATGTCTTCATCTCCTATCGTAAAGGAAAATGCACCATGCAACGGGTCGACATTCATTCATTCGGAAAGATGCCTTCAATTGTAGCAACATTTTTAAATTTATCAAACCCAAACGAATATACAGGTCATTGTTTCCGACGTAGCGCTGCTACTCTTGTCGCAGATGCAGGTGTGGATTTTACAGCGCTCAAACGCCTGGGAGGTTGGAAGTAAAAATATTAATATTTTTCGAACTTGTTTTAAACAAATTATTTAGGTCGTCCACATTGGCGGAAGGTTATATAGAAGAATCTGTTGAGAAAAAGAAGAAAGTTTGCAAACTGCTTATGGGAGAAAAAAAATCGTGACCACTTCCACGGATGTTTCACCATGTTCATCCACATCGTTCGCATTTGCTCCACCTCAGAAAATAGATTTACCTGACAATGGGAAAGAAGTAATTTCGTTCACAGATACCAGTTTTCAAAATGCACAAAATTGTTCATTCCATTTTCATTTTTCCAAATAACTTATCAGTCAAATAATTATTAGATTACCTACTTTAGTTGTTAGCTTTTGATGTTGTTACTATATAAATAAGTAATACAAATAATGGAAGCTGTTTTTTTTTTTGAATTTAGACATTCTATGGAATTTTGGAATAGTCCGTAAAGGTTGCCATGACGGCTTTTAGGGACTAGGCCTAAAAAGAAGCATTTTACGGACTTGAATGAGTCCGTAAAATAGCTGTTTTTGGGAGCGTATGACAAAAAGGAAGTTTTATTTTTTATGAACATTACAGGGTGTCTGTCTCATTTTAGTTATTTATGTATAATGTGACAGTGCTAACTCGGTTGCTATTGGAGTGGAGGGATGCAGTTTTCACGAATGTTGGCTACTTTTTTGTGAAACGAAAGATGCCCCTTATATCTCGGTTCTCTGATAAGTGCGCCAAAAAAGTGTAGCAGGAAAAAGTTGCACATATTTTTGTAGATGTGCGACCTTTTGTAGTAGTAGTAGTCCCCTTCGACCTGGTTTTATTTAACAATACACGGTTTGATATGTTTATCTTCAATAGTTACAGGGAAAAACACGAAAGCCCCTTCCATAAGGTCTCATGTTGAGTTGAAGAAAAAAAGTATGTTTCAAGCTAAGGAGCGAGTGGAGCGACATTTTTAATAGATCACCCTGTACATTCTTTGTTGTAGAGTAGAAGTAACCAAAATCAAATAAAGTTTTTCTTTATTACCTGCCAGATCAAAGTGTCTTATTTTCAATAAAATCTCTCTTTTTGTGAAATTCATTTCAAAATAAATAAATTAGATCAGTCTGTTTATTTACTTTTTACTTTTTGACTTTAAATTTGAAGGATACTGTCAAACTCAAACTAACATGCCCGCATGAAGTTAGCTACATGTCGTTGTTTGTTTGGCCCTGGACAGAAATTAAAATACGAAGACGAAGAGATGCCATTCAATTTCATCCTAACCTCAAACTTGACCTCTACTTTTTGAAAAACAAACAAAAATAAACGTCACTTTAATATTTTCTCTGGATCAAATTAACACATCAATTAAACCAATAATTAAGGTAAGTCCCCCATAGACTTCATGCTACTAGGTTGAAACCGACAAGAAGTTCCTTAAGTATATTTGATTTTGTTTAGAAATCATGGCTCAACCCCCAAGTCGCAGCATTATAAAAATGATACTCACCAACTTTATCAATTCCTTGAAACCCAGACAGTTTAGGGGTAATTATATGGGAGTCGACACTTTCGGCAACAAATATTATGAGATACCAGTGAATTCTTCAAGCGCGAGGACCAGGCCGAGTAGATGGTTTGAGCCTCCTGTTAAAGATGATTTTGCAAGTGAGATGTCCGCTGAATGGGAATCATGGTTGAGAGGTAGGTACACTCTTTCACCTATCTTAATAATTACAAAGTAATTCAAACAAAACATAAAGAAGCCGAGTAAGAAGCATGTTCAACCAAGGGGTCAGTTCATTAAAAAGCATGTCCAACAAAGGAGTCAGTTAAGTTAGCCCCCTCCCCACTAAATGTTTCTAAATGAAACATATCCCATAAATTTGCTCCCATTTTGCTTCACGAATTAGAATTTTTGTTCCACTACAGTGGAGAGACTATGTGGCCCGGGGGGCGGTTAACTCTGTTAAATCGGTGTACAAATGGACTTGAATCATTTTAAATCCCTTATAAAATTATTTAAATCATCTTGTTTTGCTCTAAATCAGATTAAATGAGGTCAAATCCAAACACACCCGGTATAAAAATCTCTTAAATCCGATCAAATCTCCTAAATCAGTTAAAATCAATGATGAGTTTAAATCGGTGTACACATTTTGAGGAAGTTGACTGCTCTCAGATGTGACCTAAGAGAGGGGGAAGGGCAAATTAACGCTAGCCCTCCCCCAGTGAAAATTTCAAAGTTCTTTTATGCTCATTTAATTCTCCAAGTTTTGCTCTATTTTGCTCCATGATCAGCGAGTTTTGCTCCATTACCTGGAATGAGCTACAGAACTCCCAAGAATTTCTCCTAGCCCCCCAACCTTAATGATTTTTTTTATTTCTCAGTGACACTGACACTGAATATATATATTTTGTAGCTCTACTATAATCAATTTCTATTCAAAGAACCAGAGCAAAACAAAATATTTCTATCATTGTTTGTTACATAGTAGTAGAAAGAGATACAAATTACAAATACACTTGCCCACTAAATGTATTTACCAATAGAATTCCCTATTATTGGACTGGTTCTTTGACGGTCATTTGGCTAGGAGAGATTTTTGGGAGCTCTGTAGCTCATTCCAGGTTATGGAACAAAACTCGCCGATCATGGAGCAAAACTTGGAGAATAAAATGAGCATAAAAAAACTTCGAATTTTTCACTGGGGGGCTAGAAGAGATTTTTGGGAGCTCTGTAGCTGATTCCAGGTAATGGAGGAAAACTCGCCAATCATGTAGCAAAACTTGGAGAATAAAATGAGCATAAAAAACTTCGAAATTTCCACTTGGGGGGGGGGGGGGGGAGGGCTAGCGTTAATTTGCCCCCTCCACTCAATAGGCTACATTTCACAGTTTCTCCACTGTAGTGGAGCAAAAATTATAATTGGTGGAGCGTGGAGCCAAATTGAATGAAATGAGAGCCAAAAAACGTAAAGTGATTTCCAGTTTCTGGGAATACTGCTCAAATTGGGACAGTATTTCCAAGTATTCCCCCTCGTATTCCCCGGTATTTGCAAGAATTCCAAGTAAGGTCAACTTGCCTAACTGACCTGATACAGCGAGGTAACTGGGCCATATGCCAGTTTTTGGCCTATTATTGAAATTCGAATTTCCCACGCATAAAAATTTGTTACAAGTGTGTGTCCTTCATACCCTGCATGTAGTAGAAAGAACGAAGCAGGATTAGTTCCTGAGAAAAACATTGAAATTTGTTACTTTTACAAAGTGTATCATAACAAGTGACAGAAGTTTGGATCAATGGTTAGTGAGTTAATAATATTGCATTGAGCATGTTTAACCGTAAGAGAAAGATGTTGTGAAGGTAAGCCAGGTTTGTTCTTAGCTTAGAATTTCAAGTAAAGGAAACACAGCTTGGGTTTCAGTTGCTCCGCTAAAAATACATACAGAGGCAACTGGAACGTATATGATGTGGCCAACTGGAACATATGTTCCGTTCCACCTGAAATTAACATTGTATTACATATTCTCGATTGTCGTGGAGTAAGCAATTCAATTTCTTTGCTTCAATCTCTTTGCTGATGATACCACTTTTATGACTACTGGTAAAAACTTGAATGAAGTGAGAGAAGTGGCGTGTGGGGTAAAGTCAGATGTAAAACAATGGTTTAATTGTAATGGTCTGGTCTCGGGTCTAGTATTGAACGAATCAAAAACGCACAATATAATTTTTGCTTTGAGAGAGATTGATGATTCCATAACTAAAGACTCTGTGAGGTTTTTAGGGGTAACCTTGGATTCAAAATTGACTTGGAACGAACTATCAGCTAGGCTTGCTAGAAGTGTTTACCTTCTGAGAAACCTATCGGGAAGTATCTCAGGAAAAATACTGAAAATGACCTACTTCGCACTTTGTCACTCGTGCAAATTTTCATATACTTACACTCTCAATAGTCTCAATAATTCTCGTCCCAAATATCAGACCACCGCCTAATAAGTTTTACTTCAAAAGTTTCATATTTTTGCAGATTTGTTAAAAACCAGTGGACCAAAATATGAATGTTATATCATTGTAATCAGAATAAAATATTCTATCGAACACACATATAATATACAGAGTGTTCCATTTAAAAAAAAATATAATGTAGGCTTATATGTCAAAAAATTGATAGTGTTTTGTTTTATGTGTAACTTGAACTACTAACCCTACATTTTGTTTTTTTGTTTACCTTGATAACGTCAAAAACAAAAAAGTTACAGGTGTGAGGTGATCAAAATGATATCAAAGATAAAAAAACACCTGGTACTTCCAGAGTATTGCCATATACCTCCAGCATATTCCCAAGGATTTCCAAGTATTCCTAGGTATTCCCTCATAGTATTCCCACCAAAGTGTACAGGCGAGTCACCATATTTTGACACCTACCTGCAGCCGTGATTACAGGTGATAGATAAAAGATGTAAATACAAAAGTTGTAGCATTTTATCTGAACCGCCAGAATTTTTAATTAGATTGAACAAATGAGCAACACAAAGTAAAAAAATATGTCGATGCTCACTTTTTTTAAATGGAATGCCCTCGGGAATGCCCTTTATTTTCTTCCAAATTCTTAAAGTTCTCGTTTTTCTGATTCAGATTATATGATATGAAAATGTTACTATCATTAGTTTTGGAAATATCTGGAGTTTAGTTATTCAAAGACAGTAGTTTTTTGAATATATTTTACCTTGATTTACCTGTCACCTGTTCATAAAAAATTCTGATACGTGAATAAGGTCTTTGAATAACTAAACTTCAGATATTTCCAAAACTATTGAAAGAAACATTAATATATTATATATCTAATCAATCTGAATCAGAAAAACGACAACTTTGGGAATTTGGAAGAAAATAAAGTGCATTCCATTTAAAAAATGTGAACATTGGTAGGTATACTTTTTCATTTTGTGTTACTAATTTTTTCATTCTAATTGAAAATTCTAGTGGTTCAGATTAAATGATACAACTTTTGTATTTACACCTATCACCTGTAATTACGGCTGCAGGTGGGTATCAAAATATAGTGACTCACCCTGTACATACAGAGATTTCCATGAGTGATTTACCCCTCGTTTTGACCAGACAGATTCAAATCTAAAAATACAAATTTTACCATCAACCCCTATTTTTTAATAGCAATATTAGCTGACCTCCTGGGTACTGTTCTTCTCAATATAGTCGAGTTAATTATCTACTAATAAAGCTGAAAATGTTTCAGTCGATCTGAAACCCTACCGAATTAAGAATAGAACGTTGGGCGAAAATTTAAATGTGATCGGCAAAAGAGTTTTGAAGAGTTAAAATTAAACACAAACCACCATATAATTATATTATCAATAATTATATTTGGTTTGTGTTTAATTTTACCTCTCAAAAACTCCTTACCAATCAAATTTGAATTATGGCTTAACATTCTATTCTCAACCCCGTAGAAAGATTTTTAGTAGTGATGTGCAACCTGGATACTTAGAAGTATCGGTATCGAATAGATACTTGAAATAAATATATCGGATACTTTGGAACCTATGTGTAGAGATTGTTGTGAATTGAGATTGGGAATGATGCATAACTAGCGGGATTTGGTACGAATTACAAATCTGCACGCTGCATGATTACAGATTCCTGTAAATATCCAAGGATTTTATAATTTTACCGCCACTCGCTAGACCTTATCCTTGCGGATTTACTCTGAGGATAGTGGAGCGTGAGAAAAAAAAGATCCAGAATCCAGAGTATCCAAGCATTTGAAAATAAAGTATCGGATACCTACTTCAAATTTAGCAAATATCACTGTCTGAGCCACAGCAACGCGTAGCCGGGTTAGCTAGTAATACTATAAAATTTGAAATTAAAATAAAACATTAGGCACCAAGGGGTACAGACACACACAAAATAAGTAAACCTTTTTTCAACGTTCAGCTTTTTTTTTCATACATGAAGCTGAGATAGATATCACCTTGCATCAACTTCAAGTAGCTTGAAGTTCTTATGCACTCAGGGTCATTTTTAAGGAAATTTTGTACCTCTTCTGAAATTATTATCAATGCGCTTTTAAGGTTCATCCTGGGGTTCATCCTATCTTCTGGAACAATTGTCAGAACTTACTAATAAACGTTCACTTTTATTATGTTTTTCACTTAGCATATTAAAATGATGTACTGGAATTATGTAATCTGCATTCTCCAATGGCCAATAATTCTTTTTTCAGTAGGCGTTTTCCTAATTTGACCCCAATATGAATCGTATCTTGAATGTATTATTCAAATCCATTCAAGTTTAAGTGAATCCAATTATTCCAAAAACTTTTTTCTTTTCTTGACAGTTTTAGAAGTAGCAGTAGTAGTAGTAATTAGAAAGTAAATAGAAGTTAAACTCATCATATTATATTCTTTTAAATTTTTAAAATTTGGTCCTGTAAATCATTCATGAGGTGAAATTTTGGGAAACTTTCTTTAATAAAAGTGAATGTCCATCGTCCAACACAAAACTAGATTATTTAAAAAAAAAAATTAATATCAATTAGTGTCTCTTTTAATAGAATCTGAACCTCATGTGTGACGTCATGACGTAATTATCCTACAATTTCTTTTAAATTCGTCATAAATTCCTCAGAAATTCCTCATAAATTCCGCTTATATTCCTCCAAACTCCCCATAAATTCCTCCAAATTCTCTATAAATTCCCCAAATTTTCATAAATTCCTCGAATTCCCAATAAGTTCATTCAAATTCCCCACATTATTGGCAAAGGATTCCTAGGTGGTTTGCCCTGAAGAATAAAATTACAAAGTAGTTTATTCTTAAGGAATCAGCAATCCTCTTCAAATATCTCCTAACAGATGTTAATACATATATTCCGTTCCTTGTTTTTTTTTTTGCATCTGGTCCTTCTTGGAAATTTGAATCACTCATCCGCAAGCCCTTCTAAGCGTTTCTGTCCAGTATTTTTGTTTTGGTAAACCACTATAAAACATTGTTAGCATCAACTAACTACTTATCTACCTCGTTACCTACATATATATACCGAACTAATTGGAAACATTCCAGAAAAATTCATCTAGTAGTAGTACTGTACTCGGTACTCTAGTAATTTGCGGGTCAGCGGCGTAACTAAGGGCCCGCAGTCGCGGGGGCCCCGTCATCTTAGGGGCCCCGCAGGAATGCAAATAGTTTTTTTTTTTTTTTTTCAAAATATGTACTTCTAAATCCGAATGAGATTCTATTGGTACGAGACGACGGTTACTCTATTTGATCTTAATTAAACATGTGGAACTTAACTCAGATCTAGTTTTACTGAAGAAATCTCCCTATTAGATTTTTGACGTTGCCTGTAACAGTAGCCAGTGCACAAGGTTCGTTTTCAAAGCTTAAGCTTATTGAAAGCTTTTTGCTTCTTCCATGTCATAAGGTGGACTAAAGGCAATGGAGCTGCTGTCCATGAAAACTAGTAAAATGGACGTATCTGAATTAGTTGAGGCATTTGCCAACCATAACGCCCACAGAAAGGATTTTTAGGTTTTGGTCTTCTCTTTGATTTTCTTTTTTTTTTACTTCACGAGGATTTTTCTTCTTTTTTCAATATTTTCTTGTTCAGTAAGTGATGTAAGTACTATGTTATTTTCGATTTTAAACGATGCTAGTTTTGTTTATTTATCTTAACAGATAAAGTAGATAGTGTTCGTCGATTTTTATCTGACACTTTTCGTATGAGGAGCGACGGGGTGAAGTATATGGCAAAAACAGATGTAACGTCAGGTGACCATTGGCGTTCTAATGTAGGGTGTGCCACCAGCTCACATTCATTTCGAGTATCAGATTAAAATCGACGGACTTTAAGTGGTACACAGAGGGTAGTAATTCACAATTTATGTGGTTTGGATTGATTAACAAAGATTTTTAAATTTTGTATAGGTAAACTCTCGCGTAAACTCCCTCCCTTAAATTCCCAATTTTCCTTTGCGTATGCCAGTAAAGTTTGTGAAGTGAAATATGTGTTCTTAGGATTATATTTCCATATTTGTCTTTGTAAGTCTGTTTTAAAATTATAATCCAAACTTGGATCCGTCTTCTTCGGTTGGCTTAAAGGTTTTTCAGTATGTTGTTGTGCCATCAGAAACTTTTTAATAGTTCTCGTCCTATCCCAATATAGAAATATTAGATATAGTTGAGGCTTTTAAAAGTTTGGTAAAAATATACATATTTTTTGAATGATTACCCAAAAATATCTAAAACTTGGGCCTCAAGGGGCCTTGGGTTGTTATTTTTAAAGTATTGAGCAGATCTTCTATTCTGAGTCCCCTTTTATCCTTTTAATTAAACTAATTAATGTTGCTCAAAATGTTAGTGTTAGTTTGGCCAACCCTTTAGCTTCAACATTTTGTTTGGAATGGTTTGGAACCACAATATCAAGGTCTTTGCCAAAATACAGCTTGCCAGGAATTTGTTGAAAGCAGGACATTTTCTTAGTTTAATTTTCCTGGATAATAATTAAGTTAGCACATCTTTATTAGGGCTACTTTTTGACAGTTATTTTGTGTTTCTAGGTAGAAGAAAACAGCCTCCAACTGACGAAGAAGTTGCAAAAAATTACGCATTAATGCAATTAAAAAAGAAAAACGCCATTGAAGTTGACGCAAAAGGTAGTCTACCAGCTCCTGTAGAGAAAGGTTTCGATAGTTTTCCAAAACGGCCCGAATATGAGAGAGTTCCTGGGGATAAAATGAAACAATGAGCAAAATATTATAATTATTAGTTTTTGTGTAAGTATTTTTTGTAAATAGTTTTGTTGTTGTAGATCAATATTGTTAAATTAAAATGGATTGTTTCGAAAAGGAAATTATAATTGACTATTTTTTATTATCTTATAGTTATTTTGTGTTGGCTTAATCAACGCAGATATACAGGGTGTCCCAGAATATGTGGGCAATCTCTCGGATTCAGATACAATACAAAAAAATAACATGATAACTTCCTATAAAAAAAAATATCTTTTATCTACAACTGACATATAATGTAGATACTTGTGATTTTGGCAGTTAATGCCATATAATATTTCCACAGGGATTAATGGTCATTATTCCAGCTTGCAGACCAATCGCAAAATTTCTCAAATTAAACAAGTAAGTAGTAGCATGGAACCAATATAAACAAACTCAAAAGTGTCAGTGTCAAACCCGTAGTGCTTGTGTATTTGTATTGAGATGGATGAACAACGAGCGTTTTTGAAACGAAAATTTCAAATAAATTAATTTGTCGTAAATAAAGTAGAGTATATTACTCGCAATAATGGCCATTATTGACTCGTGGTATAATCTACTATAAATATGATGGATACTATACCTTTTCAACTTCAAATTGGGACTAAGCAACTTTAAATTGGGAACTAACAATATCAAAATGGGAATTAACAAAATCAAATTGGAACTAATCATTTTTAATTTGGTACTAATCAACTTCAAATTGCGACTAATCAATTTTGATTTGGGAAGAAACAAATTCAAATTGGGAATAGACCTATTAGATTTAGGTATTAATGTAAATGAAAGATTGCTAGTGAAGAAAATCAATATACATTAATGAAAAAGGGACTTTGAACAGTAATGAAATGAGATTTTGATAAAGTTTGTGAGGCTCTCGCGGTCCGGGTTTATCGATGAAATGTTTTCATTCGGGCTTAATGGCCGTCCTAACTTGGAATTTCTTCCTGAATTATGACGTTTCGCTAGCACGCGTGGCTAGCATCTTCAGAGGTGCTTCCATGTCCGATTCTGGTAGCAGTCTGCTACCAGACGTCAGAAAGAGATTCCAACTTACGGCAGCCATTGAGCCCGAATGAAAACATTTCATCAAAATGAGATTTTGTTCAAAAATTTCTTTTATTTCAGCGTAATAACAGCATTTTTCTCTATGAATCCAGTCATTTATACCTTATGTTTGCTTTTCTTTGTCCCCCACGCTTGCTTCTAACAACTTCTTGGGTACCCACCCATCGATAAGCTGAAGATTTTTTATACCCAGAGTGTTAGCCAATCCTCTTCAGTCGTCTTTGTTATTATAAACAGCTTTTTGCTTTTGTGCAGTTTCTGCATCAGCTACTTTAATGTAAGGCATTTTGTTAATTTAAAATACGGTTTAAAAATAACTGCCATTTGACTTGCAAAACTTTGGAATTTATTCAACAATGCCAATTTGAAGTTGATTAGTGCCAAATTAAAATTGTTTATTTCCAATTTGACTTTGTTTATTCCCGTTTTGAACGTGTTAGTTACCAATTAAAAGTTGATTAATCCCAATTTGAAATTGATTGATCCCAATTTAAAGTTGAAAAGGTATAGATAAGACCCCTTAGAATGGACCCTTTCAAACGGCTCTGGAACGAAAGAGCGCTGCACAAAAGAGCGCTGTAACAAATGAGCGCTGTAACAAAAGAGCGCTGTAACAAAAAAGCGCTGCACAAAAGAGCAATGCACAAAAGAGCGCTGCAACAAAAGAGCGCTGTAACAAAAGAGCGCTGTAACAAAAGAGCGCTGTAACAAAAGAGCGCTGTAACAAAACGGCGCTGCACAAAAGAGCGCTGTAACAAAAGAGCGCTGCACAAAAGAGCACTGTAACAAAAGGGCGCTGTAACAAAAGAGCGCTGCCAAAAGAGCGCTTTAACAAAAGGGCGCTGTAACAAAACAGCGCTACACAAAAAAGCGCTGCACAAAAGAGAGCTGTGATAAAACAGCGCTGTCTGAATTTCAAAAAGATGAAGTAAGTAAAAATGGGCAGAGATTAGGTCGCATTCCGAGGGCGGGTCAGTTTGGGTAAGATTGGGTTATTTTATATTCATTTTCTGATTGAGCAATTTGACGAAATTAAAAAACAGAGATGGGGTCGCATTCCGAGGACGAGTTAGTTTGGGTTAGATTGGGCTATTTTGTATTCACTTTCTGTTTGAACAATATGATGAAACTGATGAAATTCAGAAACAGAGATTGGGTTGCATTCCGAGGACGGGTCAATTTGGGTTAGATTGGGTTATTTTGTATCATCTGTCTGAGCAATTTGACGAAATTCAGAAACAGAGATTGGGTCGCATTCCGAGGACGGGTTAGTTTGGGTTAGATTGGGTTATTTTGTATTCATTTTTTGTTTGAGCAATTACAGAGATTGGGTCGCATTCCGAGGACGGGTTAGTTTGGGTTAGATTGGGTTATTTTGTATTCATTTTTTGTTTGAGCAATTACAGAGATTGGGTCGCATTCCGAGGGCAGGTTAGTTTGGGTTAGATTGGGTTATTTTGTATTCACTTTCTGTTTGAGCAATTTGATGAGATTCAGAAACAGAGATGGGGTCGCATTCCGAGGACAGGTCAATTTGGGTTACATTGGGTTATTTTGTATCCTTATCTGTTTGAGCAATTTGACGAAATTCAGAAACAGAGATTGGGTCGCATTCCGAGGACGGGTTAGTTTGGGTTAGATTGGGTTATTTTGTATTCATTTTTTGTTTGAGCATTTACAGAGATTGGGTCGCATTCCGAGGACAGGTTAGTTTGGGTTAGATTGGGTTATTTTGTATTCACTTTCTGTTTGAGCAATTTGATGAGATTCAGAAACAGAGATGGGATCGCATTCCGAGGACAGGTCAATTTGGGTTACATTAGGTTATTTTGTATCCTTATCTGTTTGAGCAATTTGACGAAATTCAGAAACAGAGATTGGGTCGCATTCCGAGGACGGGTTAGTTTGGGTTAGATTGGATTATTTTGTATTCATTTTTTGTTTGAGCAATTACAGAGATTGGGTCGCATTCCGAGGACGGGTTAGTTTGGGTTAGATTGGGTTATTTTGTATTCATTTTCTGTGTGAGCAATTTGATGAAAATCGGGAACAGAGATTGGGTCGCATTCCGAGGACGGGTCAGTTTGGATTAGTTTGGGTTAGTCTTTGGTTACAGCGCTCTTTTGTTATAGCGCTCTTTTGTTACAGCGCCCTTTTCTTACAGCGCTCTTTTGTGCAGCACTGTTTCGTTACAGCGCTCTTTTGTTACAGCGCTCTTTTGTTACAGCGCTCTTTTGTGCAGCGCTCTTTTGTTACAGCGCTCTTTTGTGCAGCGCTCTTTAGTGCAGCGCTCTTTTGTTACAGCGCTCTTTTGTTACAGCGGTCTTTTGTTACAGCGCTCTTTTGTTACAGCACTCTTTTGTAACAGCGCTCTTTTGTAACAGCGCTCTTTTGTGCAGCGCTCTTCCATTACAGAGCCCTTTCAAACACAATTGACCAATCTGGTTTGCCAGGGAAGAACTAGCTTTAACACAATAATGCTCTTTGTATGATAAAGGCACAGCAATAATATATTTAGATAGTTTGAACCTTGAAGTAGAAAAAAGGTACTCTTATTCGATGTCAAAAAAACGAGCTGGTTTCGAGAAAAATCAGTTTTTGTTTATTAATGGTTTTTTTAAATTGAAACCGGATCGAAAAATGCTTCAAGTAAAAGTTACTTGTTTTTTTCTGTAGAATAAGATTCTGTAATAAAAAAATATATTTCCATTGAAAAAAAAAGGTGACCTTGAAATAACCTTGAAAACGTCAAAGTCAAAAATCAGTACCGCCATTTTGTTTCCCACATGATACCATGTAACTTTTATTTGAACTTTTTTTTTCAAAAACGCATCGTTTTCGAGATATTAGACTGTCTCAAGTTAAATGGACCACCCTGTATAGGCATGCTGACTCTAGTTGTCCTAACATAATGCTATCTGACCATGTGAGTCATGTTTTTTATCAAATAAGCAATGGATTGAGAGATTTTCAGCTGTCATGAAACTCTTTCATCGCGATTATTTTTTTACACATTCAAAAGTGCGTGGGCGTAGCTTGTCCCGCTACCTCACTTGCTGACTTGAGTATAGTTATATACATCACAAATACAAGCTTATATTCCATTTTCAGCTTTCATGAAACTCTTGCACTTTTTTGGCGCTGGCTTTCCGACTATATGTGAAGTGTTTTGCTTCTATTACTTGAATATTAACTCCAATTTATTTATTTTTACATATAAGTGGTGGTTTTTGCGTAAAACAAAGACCCTTACCATTGGCCTTATTTGGATCACTATGCTCCTAATAAGGCCATCAATAAAAATGTTTAAAATAAATAGAATCATTTATGAAAATAATATTTTTTGACAAAAAGTACCTACTCAAAATAGAACTTTAACGTTTGCTGCATTCTAAAAAAACAATAATTTCAAGTCCTGGGATGGTGATCCAAATAGGTCTACATACAACTAGGACAACTGAACCGCAGCTTTTCTTGCTTGGTTAGACTCCAGGCGTTTTTCATGTGGCCTTATTAGGAACATGTTACATTGATAAAAAAAAGTCTGTAACTAGAAACCTAGCAAAGATATTATTCTCTACTTACTCTGTAGCTTTCTCAATACATAAATGTCCATGTAAAAATTACATTCGCTCCATTTCCTTTATGAACATGTGTATAAACAAATTAAGTTCCAGCCTTAAAGTTATAATGTAACATATGAAATCTGTGGTTAGCCATTTTTCGACAAATAACGAGTTGCTAGGAATCGTCGCAATAATTTTTGATTTGCATTATAGATATCTTTTTCAATAATATTGTAATTTTTGAAGATGCGATTCAATATCGAGCAATAAGGGGCACTGGCCTTATTAGGTACATGGCCTTATTTGGGTCAGGTACCTTAGAGGTTTTGAACAAAGTCAAAGTGAATTGTGACATTTAAGTTGCATTCTATCGCTACCCGCCTATATTTTTTTTTTCCATTTTTTTTTCTATAAATTTTATTTTAAATTGGGCGTGGACTTAGCGATGAGACCCTTTGGCGCCGAGGCCCTGGGCCCGGGCCCAGCGGGCCCATGCCTTAAGACGGCCCTGGCTGGTGGCACCCTACATTAGAACGCCAATGGTCACCTGATGTCACACCTGTTTTTGCCATAAATTTCACCCCCTCGCTCCTCATACGGAAAGTGTCAGATAAAAATCGACGAACAATACCACAGAGCGTGACAATATTTTTTGGAAATTTTGAAAAGCAGTTGTGTAAATTGCGTTTCTTTCGTTTTTGACTGTATTTCGTTGTTGAAATGTTAAAAATATTTGCTTTTTTTGACATAATATAACTCTTCAAAATTATCCAGTATCCAGTAGGTAATTGCTCAATATTCAAGACACATATTATCCAACTTGGTATTTTTGATATCCTCCAAAACAAAACAATAGTCTCTTTTAGAATACGCCGGGCAAAAACACAAAATTCTACTTCACTCTGTCATAATTATTCGTTTGAAATGAATGAACTATGCTAATTGCACTATAGGTTTGTGGTTAGCAGACAAGATATTGTTTCAATTACATAAGGTGATAAAAGTTCATAGAAATGGCACAAGGTAGATAAGTCGAGTGAACAAAGAAAGCTAAAGTATAGGCTGGTTTGAATAAATGAAATAAATAGGTATTTGAGTGGTTACAAATGATTAGAAAAATTACAACCTTATTTAAAAGAAATCAAAAATTTTCTGTCAACTCGTTTAAGAAATCTCTTACCTCTTAAATCTCTACTCTCTTGTATAAAAAAGATAAGCATTCTCTTCAAAAGTTGAGGTATTTGAGTTGAGTCACAATAATAGACCTATCTATGTATTTTACCAGACAAAGAGGTAATAATACGAAAACTTTATTAGATAGAAAAAGACGCAGAACGCTTATTGCGCAAGACGAGGCAAAACGTACCAAATTATGTTAGACTTACCTATAGCAATCCGTTCTTATTATTTGCACGGGATAAGAAAGGAAGGAGGAGAACCGCGTGACGTGTAACCTATTTGTCAATCAAAAACACAAACAATTGAAAATCGATCACTTGTCAAGCTACGTCAAGTTGAATATCAAGCATAATTTTATCCTTGTCAGACCACAAGCAATGAATAAGGACAAGGAGATGCCCAGCGTGCAAAAGGATTACTTCACACATTGGCGTATCCAGGATTTTGGTTTGGGGGGGCTCTGTTAACAAAAAATGTTGACCAAAAAAAAAAAAAAAAACGCTGCACACAATACAAAAGCCCATTTTCACTTGCCTCTTTTGGCTAAAGCCGATATATTTATGCGCTTGTTGCCACATGTAGAAATGCCGAAATATTTTACTAGGTAGCAAGAGTTCACCGATTATACCTGTCCTTTCTTTTTTTATGAAGAAGTAAAGGACAAACCTAGGTCATAGGTTGTGACTAGTTTTATGTCCGCCGGGAATGGTGTACTAATGAGAAATTCGGCATCCTCGCATGTTTGGGAAAGTGACGTGCCTCTCCTATCCCGCGTTTTCACAGCAGTTTGAAAATTCGAATTTCAAATCATTTTATTTTCGAAAATTGGCATTTTTTGGGAAGAAAGTATACTAATGGTATCAAAATGACTAACAGATTAATTTAAAAATTTGAAAGTTGCCTATTTTTGTCAGAATTCACCTGTAACATACGCAGATGTTACGCGCTTATTCTTTTTTGCGGGGCGACAAAAATGTTCGTATCGGGCTACTTATTCGCTTTTTTTTTATAAGAGGAGACATTTTGTTCCCGGAGCCTCTTCTCTCCTGAGGAAGGAAGTATTTCAGACATTCAAGATGATTAAGATGAAGCACTGATTTCCATGGTGCATTCGGCGTTCCCCATAGAAAAACCTTATCATAGAAAGAAATACATTTCTATTTCTATTTCTTTTACAAAAATTGTACATGTCACATGAAATGCACTGAAAAAAAAAGTCTAGACTTGTCTTGGGGGGGCTGCAGCCCGGCAGCCCCCCCCTGGATACGCCTATGACTTTCACACCTGTACTAGTTAGCCAATAAAAATGCATTGCCTCATGTTGCGCGCGCATACAGGTAAAAATAGATAAAGTCTGTGTTTTTTTTAAAGATAAAAGTCAAAATTACATTATGTTGGCAACACAATGTAAAATTGTCAATACTTTCAACTTTTTTATGTAGAAAAGACTTGTGTTGCCAACATAGTTACTGAATTTTTGACTTGGGGAATTATCTTTAAAAAAAACAGACTTTAGGTCTATTGAAAAAAAAAACTGGCTTTGGATAGGTAGGTACCTATTGATATTTTTCAGAGTTTTTCAAATGTCAATTTTGATTTTTTGGGCCTTTCAATAAATACCAAATTTAAATTTTGGGCTCCCTCCACTGACCTTAGATTTGAGAACCCAAAATGTTTGTCAGTCATGAGCGAAAATGGCCCAGGGTGGCTTTTGATTCAAAATTTAATGTTGGTACTTTTGAACAGCCCAAAAATCAGAGACTGCATTGAGATTACAAAATTCTGGGAATTTTTTTTATGTAGAGCATATACAGGGTGTCCCACGGTGGATGGCGTATTAGACGTTTATGGAGAACTAAAAAGCGGATCATTTTGAAAATTTGGCAACCGGGATAAACGACCATGATCTACACTTTAAAAATATTTTTGACCATGCGGCGTTGCCGCTTCTACTCTAAGCTAGTGGCAACATCACTATTTTAAATGGAACACCCCGTATTAAATTGCATATTTGGATTCTACGTAAAATTCTAAGCAGATTTCATGTGATATACCCTATACCTAAGTTCAACTGTTTTGGAAATATTGACAGTTGAAAATTGACTTTTTGCAACTTTGACAGGCTGTAGAACCTGAACGGTTAATTTTAGAGGAAAACCGATTTTATAAACTATCATTTGACACCAAATTTAGAATTAAATCCATGATTAAAAATTTCAGTTAAATTTAATCTCCGGTTAAGTTCAAAGTTGGTGTCAAATGATAGTTTATCAAAATCTAAGACAGGAATGTGAAATCGGTTTTCCTCTAAAATTAACCAATTAGGTTTTACAGCCTGTCAAAGTTGCAAAAAGTCAATTTTCAACTGTCAATATTTCCAAAACAGTTGAACTTAGGTATAGGGTATATCACATGAAATCTGCTCAGAATGTTACGTAGAATCCAAATATGCAATTAAATACGGGGTGTTCCATTTAAAATAGTGGTGTTGCTACTAGTTTAGAGTAGAAGCGGCAACACCGCATGGTCAAAAATATTTTTAAAGTGTAGATCATGGTCGTTTATCCCGGTTGCCAAATTTTCAAAATGATCCGCTTTTTAGTTCTCCATAAACGTCTAATACGCCATCCACCGTGGGACACCCTGTATATTATTATATAGGGTGGTTTTTAATAATAGGCGTTAATTGGATTGCAGAAATGACTTTTCAGATTTTTGAGAAATACAAATGAAGTTTGGAAATGTTTGAATGCTGTATATGCTATGACTAAGCGTTATTTTGGCCAATCGCTTCTTATGGAATTCTATAGCCCAAAATTCTGGCATCATTAAACTTTCGTTTTTTTTTTTTAGTGATGCATTACACTGGAAGTGCTACATGCACCTGCAAGTCTATAGTCATAATTTTATTCAGTTAATGATAAAAACGTTAATTTTTTTCACTAATTCTGATGGTTTTCTTCAATAATTTCCAAATCTTACTGCAAACTGTAAGGTTTAAAACAAAACTAAATTGATTTAGGAAGCTTCATTCTTTTAATACGAATAGAAATACGATTTTTTCATTTAAACATTAATTAGTCATTCTATTTATAAGCGTAAGTTCCAAGCCCGCAACTTGCGCAGCCTTGGGTCAAAGGTAATCTCGCGCGCTTCTCCCACCGTCTAAGGTAACTAGCATAGGGTTCCCACGTGCGTATGGTACCCATCATAAACAATACATTATAGTTTACATACGATCTCAAACATAAAAACACTGTTCATACAAGAAAAAAGCTGTATCACACAAACATGTGTGATATAAGTTGTTCGCGAAAACCATTCGTATGGGTCCTGCTAGCGGTTCTAGTCCAAGCAGACCCTCAATTAGATTTACCTCAATACGAACCGAATTCGGGAATTTATCCCCAAAATCCTAGTTTTATACCAAATCCGAATTATACGCCAGTGAATCCCTATGATTTGCCTCAGAAACCGACCAGGGATGACGAGGTGTATAGAGACACTCAGGGTCTGAGTAAAGCTTATAGGGGTGACGTCGGGAGTTTGCTGCAAGCTTTGGAGTTGCAAGCTTCGCAACAATGTACGAACAATGTGGCGGCGCAGTGGAATTTTGAGACTAATGTGAATCAGGCCACGCAACTTGAGGCAGTAAGTAACATTTTTATATCAACTTTTGTGTGTTCCTGGATTTATTATCATTCTTAAATAATACATTAACTACTTATTCATAAATTATATTTTCGACTTTGAGAGCGTTATGAAACTCGGCTTAGTATCTGAATCTCTTTAAAGCAATTTTTGTTCCTTATGAGAGGACAATTTGAATTCATTTTGGCTCGATAGAGATTTTTTGAGAAAAAACGAATTAAAATATGCAGCAATTAAGTATTTTTTACATTTGAATATCTAATAAAATTGCATATGAAAAACGCTTGTGATAATTTAATAATTATTAGAAGTTTGTGTGAGCATAAAATGAATAATACTCAATTTGTGAGATATAGAGCATTTTCAAATTTGATAATACGTACTACTCCAGGAGGAAGTGAAATTTTTGAGCACCTATTTTCCTGGTTCGTGTATATTAAATAGTTCGTTCTCTTGGTGATACAAAACAAGCATTTTTGAGTCTGGCTAAAATTTTCGGATGGGTTCTCAAGATCAATGAGAAATACAAGTACACTTATTTCCCCATTTACTACAATAGAGTATATGAAAATAGCAATTTGGCTTATCTCAGATAGTGGAAAGTGAGTCTGGCTGAAAATTTATATATACTCACAGATTAGCCGGATTATTTTTTTACGTAACTTCAGTATACCTCTCATTAGTAGAGCTATTTTTATCACTGGAAAAAAGGGCCGTGCTTTCGTAAGCTCTGACACATTTTGCGCCTCAACTCATTGGAAAACCCCCCCTAAAAATTTATGAATTTTGCTTAGAATTACTAACCCCACAATTCTATCCATGTTTTCTGAGTGTGAAAATAAGTACCGAAAGTCGTCACTGCCTCCTAGACTATACCTACATTATCTAAATTCGTATGTACGTAGTTGATATTCATAAAACATTTCCCTGCTTATAGTTCTTAAAGGGCCGGTTTTGCTTTAAAAAAATCTTCCATTCCAAAATCTGTTCAATCTAGTTCATAAAAAAATTATTTCAATCTTCGAACAGCAGAATCAAGGTAAGGCCAATTAATGTGTAACTACTTACAATTATTATTATTGAACTTAAACTTTACACCTACAACTAAAAACAAACGTTTAAAAGTGGATGCACAAATTAAAATAATTAAGGAGAAATTATTATTATAAGAAGCATCGAAATTTTTTAATGTGTCCATCAAAAACGTGATCAAAGAAAATTATATCATGTTGTGTTCCGATCATTTTGCGATTGTTCAAAAGTAAGGAAGTTTTGAAATGATACGAATAACGAATTTTCAAATTTATTCCGGAATTTTTTCGCATGCCATAATTTCTATTATTCAAATAATCCCTAATTCCAACAAGTTCCTGGTCGCTTTGGAGTGTGCAAATGTAAGCAAGTGTCTGCATGACTTGTTCTAACAATATTTTAAATTTGCAACAATTTCGGAATTTTTTCGCATACCACAATTTCTATTATTTAAACAACCCCCAATTTCAACAAGTTCCTGGTCACTTTGGAGTGTGCAAATGAAAGGAAGTATCTGAATGATTCGTTCTAACAATAATTCAAATTTGCATTAATTTCGAAATTTTTTCGCATGTTATTATTTTTATTATTTAAACAATCCCTGATTTCAATAAGTTCCCAGTCGCTTTGGAGTGTGCAAATTCAGATTAGGATATGTATCCGTACTCCAAACATTTGCACACACATTATACAACTTTCGTAATTATTTTTCATAAAAATTGTCTCAATTTCGGCCAAAATTGGACAAGATTGGAAAAAAATATGTAAAACAAAATGTGTTAGTGTGAAGTTATCCATAAAATCTCAGCCAAAAAACTATCGAATTGCGGTTAGGCATACTTTTTACTATACTGGCCGGATTCTCATATATTCTGGGGGCTGTTTGTGCCATATTATAGATAGCTATGAATGTTAGCTACTATTACTAGCGATCCACAAAAATTAATTTTGTGCAATGCCCCGTCTGGGTAACTCGAAAAAAAAAAACCCTAAAAAAAATCGTGATTTTTGTCAATTTTCGCTTGTATCTTCTACACGGTTGCTTGTGCCGCTTTGAAAATAGCTATACATTATAGCTACTACTCCTAGCAATCCATAAAAAATAATTTTGTGTAATGCCCCGCCGTCTGAGTGTCTCAAAAAAAATGAAAACCCTAAAAAAGTCGTGATTTTTGTCAATTTTCGATTGTAGCTTCTACACGGTTGCTTGTGCCGCTTTGAAAATAGCTATACATTATAGCTACTACTCTAAGCAATCCATAAAAATTAATTTTGTGTAATGCCCCGCCGTCTGAGTGTCTCAAAAAAAATAAAAACCCTAAAAAAGTCGTGATTTTTGTCAATTTTCGATTGTAGCTTCTACACGGTTGCTTGTGCCGCTTTGAAAATAGCTATACATTATAGCTACTACTCCTAGCAATCCATAAAAATTAATTTTGGGTAATGCCCCGCCGTCTGAGTGTCTCAAAAAAAATAAAAACCCTAAAAAAGTCGTGATTTTTGTCAATTTTCAATTGTAGCTTCTACACGGTTGCTTGTGCCGCTTTGAAAATAGCTATATACAGGGTGTCCCACGGTGGATGGCGTATTAGACGTTTATGGAGAACTAAAAAGCGGATCATTTTGGAAATTTGGCAACCGGGATAAACGACCATAATCTACACTTTAAAAATATTTTTGTTTATGCGGTGTTGCCGCTTCTACCCTAAACCAGTGGCAACAGCGCTATTTTAAATGGAACACCCTGTATCTGATTACATATTTGGATTTTACGTAAAATTCTGAGCAGATTTCATGTGATATACCCTATACCTAAGTTCAACTGTTTTGGAATTATTGACAGTTGAAAATCGACTTTTTGCAACTTTGACAGGTTGTAAAATCTTAACGGTCAATTTTAGAGAAAACCCGATCTTACATTCCTATCTTAGATTTTTATTTTTGTTTGTGCCATATTATAGATAGCTATGAGTAGTAGCTATAAAGTATAGCTATTTTCAAAGCGGCACAAGCAACCGTGTAGAAGCTACAATCGAAAATTGACAAAAATCACGACTTTTTTAGGGTTTTTATTTTTTTGAGACACTCAGACGGCGGGGCATTACACAAAATTAATTTTTATGGATTGCTAAGAGTAGTAGCTATAATCTATAGCTATTTTCAAAGCGGCACAAGCAACCGTGGAGAAGCTACAAGCGAAAATTGACAAAAATCACGACTTTTTTAGGGTTTTTATTTTTTTTGAGACACTCAGACGGCGGGGCATTACCCAAAATTAATTTTTATGGATTGCTAGGAGTAGTAGCTATAATGTATAGCTATTTTTAAAGCGGCACAAGCAACCGTGGAGAGGCTACAAGCGAAAATTGACAAAAATCACGACTTTTTTAGGGTTTTTATTTTTTTTGAGACACTCAGACGGCGGGGCATTACACAAAATTAATTTTTGTTGATCGCTAGTAGTAGTAGCTAACATTCATAGCTATCTCTAATATGACACAAACAGCCCCCAGAATATATGAGAATCCGGCCGGTATAGTAAAAAGTAGGCCTAACCGCGATGCGATTGTTTTATGGCTGAGATTTTATGGATAACTTCACACTAACACAAAATGTTCCAGTCAAAAATAATGTGTGCAAAATGGCAAACTGTTATGGGATCATATAAAGGCATATAAACAACTATTTGCACAAATTTCGCAATTTTTGTTATATACTTTATTTCACTTTAAAGTTTATAAACTGTTTATAATGTTCCCGTCACCACATTTGTGTGCAAACTTGATAGAACTTGTATAAACATTTATAGAATGGTTTCTCATGATTTGCACAAATCTCGCAATTTTTTTTGCGGAGTTAGTGCAAAACAACTATTTTTAATTTATTTAATAATATTCCTGGGGTCGTATTTTCGAATTCATTCGAGTACATTTCGTATACGAAATTTGATTGACAGCAATGTTAATTAAATGGGGAGCATTCGAAATCGTATCAAATTTCGTATGCGAGAATACTCGAAAATACGACCCCTGGCCGAAACTTTGTGTGCAAAATTCAGATAATTGATTTTTAAAGCTTTTTCGACATTTTCATCAAATAAAATTAAATTTCGCAATTTTTGTTGAACTTTCAATTTTTGAAGTGGCCGGTGACTGGCCTACATCGTCCCATCTCATCCCATCCTCTTATCGAGGGTCCTACATCCTAACCATGGAATTATTCAATGTTTAATGATAGTTCTATCCTCCTCCAGTTTCTCTTACCTACATCCCTATTCAAGTTTTGTGATGTTATTCGATCCCAGCATTCAGGACTTCTTCTTGATATTTCAACATGAAACTTTAAAAAGAGTTTCAAGAGTAAAGGTACTGTGATCTCTTTACTTTATTGCTTTACTTTTGTTGCAAATAAAATATATTCGAGTTACATCCAGATGGATTTATTACTCCAACCAAGTGAGTTTTGATGGGTGTCGCATCTAATATAGCCTTCGTCACTTTGGATGCTAGTGGAGGCCTAAATTCAAATTCAATTTCAATTTCAATTTCAAAATAGGCTTTATTGTCCAAGTTCCTGAGAAATTATTGACAAAGCAACAGGATTCCAATACTAATTTTTAATTACCAAGTAGGCACCAAACGGCCACAAAAAGTATAAGATTTAACAAAAAAAAATTAAAAAAAAAAAAAATAAACAAATTAAATACTATGCTTACATAACAAACAGTAACTACAAATCTTTAGAAAATAAAATCTATAAAACAAACTAGAATAATGAAGAAACAATGTTAAATACACACAAGACAAAATTAAAACAGACAAAAATTAACAGAAAAATAGAAGTCCGATAAAAATTATTATAGGCAGAAAAACTTAAAAAAAAAATAAAACAAACTAAAAGCTAAAATAAAAATATGAAAAATTTTGCGCAATTATTCATATAACAAAAACAATCATTGATAAAATCAG